TGCATTCACGCATTTTGAAACGTAAACTGTTTCCCGTTGCGTTCACCAACTTTATAACGCACAAGAGAGATGTTCACAGCAACTTATTCGACCATGGAGTTTCCACTAAGAATTTCAACAGCACTATACTGGACAGAGATAATGCGCAGTGCAAAATGCTACTAGGGAAAGAAAGTGCGGTCGTGATTTTAAAAAATTCAATAAAAACCAAATCCTGAGGAGATTGCAAAAGTGAACAAAAATAAAGACACTTTTTAACACCGTATAATTAAAACTGCGCATTCTCGTAATGGGCTAGCATCTGGTCCGCATGATATCTGATCCACACATCGTCATCGATTGTACATTCTTGCCAACAACAACTTTTAAAAGTTGTTGAGAGTTGTTGCTGACAAGAATGCACAATGACGTAGATCAGAGATCATGTTGCCAGCTCAGTGCAGCGTCGAAAATTATATGCTCTGTAAAGGAAAAAGAGTTGGCTTGAGAGAGTTGGATAGAATTCATCCTGGCAATATACGATCGAAGTTGCGGCAGTCAATTCAAAAAACTGAAAAAGCGATTATCACAAAATGGGGTTTTTTTCCTGTAAAATACATAAAAAGTAGGACCCTTCCAAAACGAAATCTACCAAAAAAAGACAAGTTTTGCCTTCATAACAATGTGATGAGAAGACAGTAGATTGCAAAATAAACAAAAACTCACCGCCTTACAGCGTTCAGCAACATCTTGAGCCGCTAGCATAGCAGCGTATGGGGAAGCTTCATCACGATCGGCTTTTACCTTCATACCACCTGTTACACGCACTATCGTTTCGCGCCCTAAATGCACTCTCCTGTGACAAAATCTAGACTCTTTAACCAGCAAAAAATTAAGCTGTCAAGCTAAGACATAACACCAAACTATTACGCACATAGACCCACGTGGCCGACTGGCAAGAAATTTCTGTTACACCTGTGCCACACCTCTCAACCCCGAGCTACACACTTCTGTTTAGCGTCTCCAAGGAGATGATGGAATCAAATTAACTTTTGAGGCCCTCAAGTGGCCATTTATTTTTTGGCGTGGCTGCAATGACATCCTAGACATTACTCATTTGACAGAGAATCTACTGCTCATAAATACCGCTAAAGCTGGATGTGAAGGGAATTATGAGAGGTGACAG